ATTGGCTGAAGCAGTTTCTGTGGTGCATCTGCAATGCTGCTCAGACACTTTTAGTATGAGACTCTTCCTCCTAGTACCCTTATGCACCTGCTCAGCGTGCCGCCCAGCTACCCATACTGGTCAGTAGGTGGAGGATTTGCTCCTGTATGAAATATTGGAACAACTCCATGAAGATAAACAGGTAACTCAATGGCTCCCATAGTACCCGTGTCTCAGATCTGGTACATATATCTACATTTAAACCAGCAAACTGTATCTGCTCTTCTAAGGAGACACAGGTGTTCATATCCCTCAAGAAGAAGCAGTCCACTTGTTTAGCTCTGCATTTAAGCCGAATGCCTGACTGCGAATAGAAATGCTAATCTGAAACTATCATGCCTGCTAGTTTTATATTTAAGTTCAGAAATGTTTAGACAAAAAAGGCCTCACTCTTTCATATTTTTTCTGTTTTCAGTTTGCCATTAACTTGTATTTATCCCACCCAGAATATATTTACAGTAATGCCCAGATTGATAGAAAAAACTGCCTTACCAAGTTTCACTGTATAAACTGACCTGCTCATTACCTTAGTCCACTGGAACAGACCACAGATATTTGTGATCCTAAACAATCTGTAGAATTGCCTAGGTCAGCATATTTTAATGGCCGTGCAAGTCTATTAAATATCTCTTACAAACTCTGCATTTAATAAATGATTTCTAATTGACTAGGTGTCACCAGCAACATTCTGGAAAACTCAGTTACACAGTATTTTTCATTGATTTTCCTCATATTAGAAAATGAAATGTCAGATACCATTAATTGCATTTTTACAATAAGGAGCAACAGTAAAAGAAACTGCTAAATGAAAGGGCTTCCAGTATAATGCACAATGGATGTATTCACTGTAAATGAATACAATATATCAACATTTATTACAGTAATATGCATCTGTGGGCTAAATTGATGTGAATGTAATTACTATCTTTACAAATGGAGCAGCTCTGCAAGTTTCTACCAAGAAAATCATTCGCTCGTATTTTACACATTCCCATAGCCTTCTACAGCACATTATCTGCCTTTCACCAATACAGTATATAATTAACTCTTTAGTTCTAGGAGTTCCTACCCATAATAATTGCATTGAGAGTGACTTCCAGTACTTGCTTTTAGCTGCAGACTGTCCATGTGTCAAGCATCACTCATTTACCTGGTCCCACATTTGTGTTTTTTATTGAGCCTACATCTCATCAAAATGTACTCTGTGACCCAGAATGCAGTTTATTAGGTTGTGACACCTCTTTCCAGTAAATCGGATGATCCTCAGACGTATAGTGTAAAGGTTTTTCTTACTATTTTCTTGAGCTACTTAGGAAAGATCTAAGAAGGAATATTGCTTTTTATTATCAGAGAAAATGTCAGATATGATTCTGAATGCCTTCCTTTACAATGGTTGTTTTATTGTACCCACATATGAGCATTTTCTTTGCAGACCAGTGGAAATGGTATTAGTGGTCTGGAAGTGTAAATTCATTTGACTATGCACAATTTACTGTTGTGATGAAGTTTTAACTCTTTTGGGAGAAAGAAAATCTGTGACCTTTATAAAGTACGTTATGTAACATTCAATTTCCTTGCATCTGATCGATAAGGAAGCAGGAAATTGTATCTTTTTCCATGGCAGACAAGCATAATTAAGCAATAAGGCAACGGAGGTAGTTGTGATTATCTTTGGATGCACCTGGAAGCTGCCTTGTTGCTTTTTTATAAACATCTTTATAGAAAGGGAATTGTGTATTAATATCTGCTGGGCCAGATAAAGTTGACAGTTTAGAACACTCATGAACAGCAGTATCAGTTGTGTTTCAGAGAGAATAATGTAGCCCCCTCTAACAATTATGCTGTTTTTTCTATGCATACCGTGATGAAGCTGTAAACATTTAATTGACAGTTCATAGCCAGAAAAAAAAAAACCCAATTATACTCTGGCTGGTTGCCAGTGAGTCAGAAACTTGCATTTTTTTTACAAATTTACAATAAGAATATGTTGTCCTTAATAGTTGACTTCCATGGAAAACATCTCTCCATAATTAGTGCTATTGCATGCACATGCTAATTTATGCATTTTAATTATACCAACGGACCAGTGAATAATTAATGATAGAAAAACAGTAGGTCTGAAATATAAAGCTAAAAAGTGTCACTTAAATGTTTTTACTGGTCTTTGTAGATTTCACATAACTAATGAAACAGTTTAACTATACGAGTGCCGGATTATTTTTTTATAATAGTTTTATAGTATCCATATAGCATCTCAGGTGGGAATGCTAACCTTTCAGAGTGAGATTCTCCACTAAGCACCCCCACCTTCAAACTTACTGAGAGGCTAAGTCTTGCACAAAAACTCAGTGGCTACGTCTACATTAGCATCCCTTTCCGGAAAAGGGATGCTAATGAGACGAGTCGGAATTGCAAATCCGCGGGGGATTTAAATATCCCCCACGGTATTTGCATTTACATGGCTGCCGCTTTTTTCCGGCTTGTGGATAAGCCGGAGAAAAGCGCCAGTCTAGACGCGATTCTCCGGAAAATAAGCCCTTTTCCGGAGGATTTCTTATTCCTACTCATCGCTTTTTCAGTGTGCTTTTGCAGTGTGGACATTCTCTTGCACAAGAAGTTTTTGTGGAAGATCTCTTCTGCAAAAAGTTTCTTGCACAGGAAACCTGTAGTGTCGACATAGCCATAGTCATGGAGCATGCCACTTGACCCCTATCCTGCTGACATATAAACACTCCAGTA